GACAAACAGAAATAAACTATATGTAAAAGGAGAGAAGACAGACAGGGAGAGAGAAAGAGAGAGAGAGAGAGAGAGAGAGAGAGAGAGAGATAGAAAAGAGAAAAGAGAGAGAGTGTGTGAGAGAGCAAGCGTGAGAGAGGAAGAGCGCGATGAGAGAGTGAGTGAGAGAGAGAAAGGACGAAGGAAGGACGAATTAATCTCACACTTATCTGCGCCAATACAACACTACAACGATTATAGGATCACGCTAAGTAGATTTCAAGATCATCCGATCCGTGAACTAGTAACGAACTATCTTGGTAGTAGCAGAGGGAAGTTACGAACGAACGTACACACACCTGCGCACACGCACACACACGAAAACTCGTCATATAGACTAAGCTTTGGAAGCATTAGCACTGCAGCAGCAGCAGCAGCAGTAGCAGCAGCAGTAGCAGCAGCAGCAGCAGCAGCAGTAGCAGCAGCAGCAGTAGCAGTAGCAGTAGTAACAGCAGCAGCGGCGGCGGCGGCGGCGGCGGCGGTGGCAGCGGAAGCAGCACTAACAGCAGCAGCAGCAACAACAATAGCAGCAGCAGCAGCAGCCGCCGCATCCTACGGCCTCTAGCTACCTACGCAATTAACGCGTTTATCTTGTACAAGCATCCTCCGTGATCTAGGTTAAGCATAATTAGCAACATGGATGCTGGATGCTGCGGCAAACTTTCCGCATAAATTACCTTACAATTTTCTCCTGCGAAAAAATCACGAAAGTCATTGGTCTGTGTGACCCTGCCTGCCTGCCTGCCTACCTGCCTGCCTGCATGCCTACCTGCCTGCCTACCTGCCTGCCTGCTTGCCTGCCTGCTGCCTGCTTGCCTGCCTGCCTGCCTGCCTGCCTGCCTGTCTGCCTGATTGACTACCTGCCTGCCTGCCTGCTTGACTACCTGCCTGCCTGCCTGCCTTTTTTGCCTGCTTGACTACCTGCCTGCCTGCCTGCTTACCTGCCTGCATGCCACATGAAGGCAATACACACATGGAATCTTCTGAGCTCATTCATGTAAAAGCCTCGCATCAGGGGGGGAGTGGGCGATGCGTGTGAAACGTGCCGTAGATCGAATCGACTTTTTTTATTTTTCTCGCTTTTTGTGAGATGATTTGGCATTTCGCGCGTGCGTGCGTGCGTGCGTGCGTGCGTGCGTGCGCGCGTTTATCACCAGAATCGTCTGCATGCTTATTGGTGTCCGCGAAAAATACAAAAACTCGCAGGAAAAATCAAGTGAACAGAAATCAGCACTATAGCGAATCGAATACCCTGCGAATCCATCGCGCTCGTTCTCTCCTACGCAGCGAACACGCAGTCACGCCTGACAGGGTACCCGCCTCGGATTCCTACAAGCTTTCTCCATTAACGTACCCTTCCCGGCGGGACTGTCTCCCTCAGTCTATATACACAGCCTACGGCGCGCGAGCGCAAAGCCAGGGTATAGGAATTTTTCACGGAAACTTCATAATGATAATATATTCTTCCTTCTCGATATGCGTTCTGACAGTTTACAAGTAGAGAATGCAGACAATGCTTCTGTAAAAACAGGAAATGTATCGCTGAGTTCTTCTATTGTTCCCCGCATCCTTCCCTCTCAATCATACTTGCTGTGTGCGTGATAGCGACAGATGCTACTTCACAAAGCGACAACTAACTACGATTCCAGTTCCCGCGTTTGTTTTCACAGTAACGGCATCATCTTCATCATCATGCAGCGTCATCACCTTGACGACCGTCTCCATGGGAACTAACTCTCTCCCGCTTTTGTTTCCGCAGCTCGTCGCCAGTATCATTACATTGACGACCGTCTCCATGGTAACTAACTCCCTCCGCGTTTGTTTCCACAGTGACAGCGCTCGTCGCCTTGACGACCGTTTCCATGGTAACTAACTCCCTCTCGCGTTTGTTTCCCACAGTGACAGCGCTCGTCGCCTTGACGACCGTATCCATGGTAACTAACTCCCTTCCTCCTCTTCGTTTGTGTTTCCACAGTGACAGCCCTCGTCGCAAGTGTCATCACCTTGACGACGATTTCCATCGACCGCTTCTTCGCCGTGTTCTGGCCGCTAAAAGTCCGCATCACGCAACAGCGAGCATCCATCGTCATCGTCGCCACCTGGCTTCTCGCGGCGGCGACATCGTTCCCGCTGCTCATCTACAGACAATACAAGGAGATCCACTGGCTGGACTACGTCGAGCGAGTTTGCTGGGAGAAGTGGCCGAGTACGCCCGTGTACGATGAAAGCTGTCGGCTGGTGGGATCGGCGCAGAACGAGCGGGCGGCCTACTACACGTTCATGACGATAGCTCTGTTCTTCTTCCCGATGATCGTCATCACGCTGGCGTATAGTCTGATCGTATGGAAGCTGTGTGTGTCCATCGTGCCCGGAGAGCAGCATAGCAACACGCTGCAGCTGCAGGCGCGCGCCAAGCGGAAGGTGAGTGCACGCACACACGCCCGCGCACGCACACGCATGCATACAGACACACACACACACACGCACGCACACGTTCGCGCACACGCACGCACGAGCATACGCACACGTACGTACATACACGCACACCTACACACACACACACACACACGCACGCATGCATACAGACACACACACACGCACGCACACGGTCGCGCACACGCACGCACGAGCATACGCACACGTACGTACACACACGCACACCTGCACCCACATG